AAAGACTCTTTTTCCATATAAGGTTCATTCTGAGGTTCAGGAAGAACGTGAACTTTGGGGAACACTGTTCAACCCCTGGCAGGCAGTAGCGGAGGAAGGCTGAGCAGAGGATTCACACACAAGGCTGCATGCAGGTGTGTGTGGGTTTGCAGATGTTCCTTCGCTGCTTCTGATCTGGGGTGGTAGGAGAGGGGCGTCCTCAGACATTGGGGGGAGAGGAGGAGGAGTAATCTGGACTCTGGGACCAGGAGAGGCCAGGCTTGGGAGGTGGGGTCTGATTGCCAGGTGCAGTGGGTCCCTGGGCTCTTAAGGCACCCAGTCAGTGGGTGGCATGTTTTCCACCAGCCACCTGCGGTGGGTACAGAGTGGGTGGCCAGTTGGGTTCACTGCATAGGGCTCTGCTAGGCTAGTATAGTGGCCCTTAAAAGATGTGTTCACGTCCTGACTCTCAGAACCTATGAGTGGGATCTTATCTGGATGCAGCAGCTTTGCAGATATAATTAAGATATATAATTAAATATAAGATATAATTAAGACACAGACACAGAGGAGAAGCCACGTGAAGACGGAGGCAGAGACTGGAGTGATGCAGCCACAAGCCGGGGGACATCTGGAGCCACCAGGAGCTGGAAGAGGCGGGAAGGATCCTCTCCTGGAGCCTCTGGAGGGAGCACGGCCCTGCCACACCTGGATCTCAGACTTCTCAGAACTGGGCGAGGATAAATACCTGTTATTTTAAGCCCTCAGCTTGTGGTCATTTGTCACAGCAGCCTCAAGACGCTGAGCACAGCCTGGGAGCTGAGGGCCTGAGAACAGGACTCTGAGGGATGTGAAGATCTTGAGAAAGGGCTGCGTTGGTGGGTTGGAGTCAGGGCTGGAAAGCAAGGGGGTGGTGGTCAAAGTTGGAGGCGTGGGGGATGGAGGGTCCCCAGGTTTGCAGCACTGGACCAGGATGTTCAGGGTTGACAGCGTGGGATGCACACAGACACTTGAAACAAGCTGTTCCCACCCAGACGAGGCTCAGAACAGCATTCCTTGGAAGAAGAGACACATTACATGACAGGGCGATCCCAACCCGTTTCAGCTCAGCAGGGTCGACGGTGCAGGAGTGGGACGTGACGGAAGGGTTGGCTCCCCTGGGGGACGTCACCCATGGGTATTAAACGGCCTCACTGAGGCTTCTTCTGTTTACAAAAGTGGTATCACGGTCCTTGGGGAGAAACCGAAGGATGCAGAAGCAAGTGCAGAAAGGTCTTTCCTGGAGCCCTGGAGTCGGGCTTCTCCTCATCCACACCCGCTCCTTTCTCCAGGACTCTGAGGTGTCTTTGCAGACATGTGCCAAGTGCACCGGGAACACAGACAGAGCCTCTGCCTGAGGGAGCGGAGAAGCTGCCGCCCGGATGGCCACAGAGGCACCAGGCGGAACCGAGGCTCTTCAGTCACCATATCCCACAGGCCACGAGCATGGCA